GACTATTTGAACAATAGTGTTTACTAAATGTTTTTTGTTTTTGAACGAAATTTTTGTAGAGTTTTATTGTTGTTGTTTTTGAGATACAAAAATATAGAAGATGAAATGAAATAATTAATGTAAAAACGGTTAAGATCTTAAAAATATAAGTTATATTACATAGTCAGTATTATTTGTGATTGCCATCGGATCATACAAAGTGCCGCAGAGAGAGAGGTCGCGAGGAAAAGTTTGTCCCTCGCAACCCCCATCTCGTAACAGCTCTCGGCAGCCCTGATCATACACTGTTCTCTTTCATGACTTGACAAACGTCACCATTTTGTATCTGAATCAATTCAGGTTCTTTTTTTAAAGGAGACAAAGAAATTTTTCTCTCAGGTATAAATTATATTGTAATATGTAATCTTAAATTGCTTAATACTTGACAACTAAAATTTTAACGCCAATTCATTTAAGTATGCATTAAAAATGAATGAATGAAGTTTAAAATGAATGAACAAAGCTCTTCTGCTGAAAATATTACACAAAAAATAGAAATTGAAATAGATGACATTTTGAATTATTTTTTGAAGAAGCCATTAGTTGACGACATTTAAAACTTACTTTTGATTCACAAAGGGATGCCTCTAATAACAATAGTAATAAAGATTTTTAGTTCTTCTTATTTAGGCACTAAAAAACGCCAAATCATATTTTATGAAAAATTACTAATTTTTTTTAACATCTAGTTCAGACCCCAAATAGTGTATGCTTATGCTGTATGCTTAAAATATTATTTTCATTGATTGGTAATTTTACAATTTTTAAACTTGGCTGTATGTAATTACACATTAGCATTAATGTTTTTTTTCCATTCTGAGGCCTTACATTGTTGTATGCATATTTTTTGTTTTTGTTTACCAATTTTTTGTTTTTTTAAGTTTTTTGTTTGGTTATATATTTGTTGTATATCTTTGTTCGTATTAGTTTTCATGAAACAGTTTTTTTATTATTATTATTGTGAGTATTGCTTGGGTGCGTTGTCTGTCTTATTTGTTTTGAAATTTTTCTCTATTAATCTTTATTTTAGTCTTGACAACTGTCAAAATATGCTTCGTTTGATTAATAATTCTTTATTAATCAAACGAAACCTTTATTCTAGTGTACTTTTAGTGACCATTCGGCGAATTTTATATGCCAAAGTTTTTAAATGATAACAATAGCAATAAAGATTTTTAGTTCTTCTTATTTAGTCCAAATCATATTTTATGAAAAATTACTCATTTTTTTTAACATCTAGTTCAGACCCCAAATGGTACTGTATGTCTTAAATATTATTTTCATTGATTGGTAATTTTACAATTTTTAAACTTTATCATATTGTAGTTAAAAATTCCAGCTTTCCGATAAGTACCTTTTAAGTTTTTTAAGATAAGTATTTTTTTGTATGATTTTTTAGTCAGAAGTTGTATAAGTTTTATTTTTATTTCAATTTTTGTTATTTCAAGAAAATTTTACCGCGAAAAAAAGCGCGGCATTTTTTGTGCATTTGCGCGAAACAAGTAGCACACGTTGTTTTTTACACCAAAAGGGGATGAAGGAAGGTTTTTTACAGGTTCCAAATCAATATGACTTGACTCGGACAAAGAACAGATATTGGAATCTTGCAAACTAAATTTAGAAAAAACTGACGCTTTTTGAAACCACTCTGGCATTCATTATAGAAGAATTTGCATTCATTTTCTCTTGAAAACCTGAATTCTTGAATAATTTATCTTGCTAAAAGTTATCTCAAATGTTATCAAATAGACTCCATATAATTGTACTCAAAAAGTATTTAAGATTCGATAGTATTTAAGATTAAAAGACTGTGATAATAGTCTTGATACTTTCCATTTACACATAATTTGTCTCTACCAGTAAAATAGTCCTGATACTTTTCATTTACACATAGTTTGTCTCTACTGGGAAAATAGGTTTGATACTTTCCATTTACACATAGTTTATCTCTACCGCGAAAATAGCCTTGATTCTTTTCATTTACACATAGTTTGTCGGGGTTCTTTTGATAAAATTTAAAAATTCAGAGACCTACAGAGAAATAATGTTGTGCACACCTTTTCAGAGGTTTAAAAAATAATTTGGAATTGAAACCGAAGAGTTTATTTAAAAATGGCATTTTAAAATTCGTATTTTCAAACATTTCTGACCACTGTGCTGTTATCTATTTTTGAGTAGAGTTCGAACAGAAAAAAGTGAAATAAATAAATTAAGCTTTTGAATAAATAAATTAAATTCAAATACATAACTTTTTAACTTACCCAAAAAATAGTTTTTGAATCATACTAAAGCCAGATTTCTAATATAAACCACATAAAAAATTTCTATGGCAACCCTCTCCTTTCAAAAGAAAGCAATAACAAGAGCTATTTGAAGTTTGTTTTAATAAAAGTTTACAACAATTGTCTTTGCTTAGAACTGTATTAAAAAAAGAGAGTGTTTGCTCTACACTAAAAAAAAGTCACAATAAAGATGCATTATTTTCATCAAGCAAATTGAACAAATTGATAAATAGATAATTTTAGATTAGCAAGTAAATCCGCGAAACCTATTACATAAAAAACAATGATTACCAAACGACTGTTTAACTGAAAATGTCGTAACCTGGTAAAAGTAAAATATCCATAAAATTGCAAGTTGTATAAGCGCTAACTAATATAAAGACATTAAACGGTTTTAAATTATTTATAGGTGAATATAAAAACAAAAAATTCAGCCATTCAAATAAAAACCCAAAGTAGATGTACATTCATACTCATTGCAAATTTCCTTAACTATCAGTTGTTGTGAGCTTTACTTTTTGATGAAACCTGGCACTAAAAAAAATTGTGAACAACTTTTCATTTTTTAATTTTCAAAATTTTAATTTCATTATCTCTTAAATACTAATAATAAAACAGACTCTCAAAAAAGCTGTGACGCATGCTATTGAATCGCTGGCTCACAAAAATGTCGAGGATACAGGCTACTAGTTTAGAAAAAAGGTGGTTACACATGCCAATGAACCAGCTCTGGCTCAATAATTAACTACTATTTTTTTGTTTTTAAAAAAAGTAAAACAAGTTTTATATAATAATATATATATATATATATATATATATATATATATATATATATATATATATATATATATATATATATATATATATATATATATATATATATATATATATATATATATATATATATATATATATATATATATATATATGCGTGGATCTTATCCACAAGCTGAGACGTTGTAACGTTCAGCTATAGCAGCCCAGTACTTTTTTTTTCTTTTTCTTTTAAATTAATATTTTCTTATTTTTCTTAAGCCATTTGTCTAAACTTGCTTTAAAACTATTCAAGTTCTTGGAATCTACAACTTTTTCCGGAAGTTTGTTCCAAATTTGGCAAACTCTGTTTGTGAAGAAATGGATTCTGGAGCTAACCAATGCATGAAAGTCATTTATTTCGCGAGAAGTAAAACACTGCATTCTAATTTTATGTTTGAGACCTCTAATGGAAGAACATAGGCCATCTAATTTAATGCTTGACTTATAGACTGGTTTGACATTAAGATTGACAAATTCTAGATTGTTTAATATTTTATATAAATGAATAAGGTCTCCTCGTTTTCTTCTGAGATTTAAATTAATTAAATCCATTTTAACTAGCCGTTTCTCATAAATTAGCATTCGGTTTGAGTATGGTATTTTTGTGGCCCTACGTTGAACTCTTTTAAGCATTGAGATTTCGGCCACATTTGGAGGATTCCATGCTGGAGCCGCAAATTCAAGATGAGGTCGTACATAAGTAGTATACAAAATTTTCCACAATTAACAATCTCTACTTTCAAAGGCATTTTTCAATAACCCCAGTATTTTTGAAGCTTTGTTAACACATACTTGCATTTGATGCTTCCACCTAATATCCGGTTGTACAAAGACACCTAGATCTCTTTCTAATACACTGTTTGAGAGGTCATAAATCATTCCATTTATATTCATTGTATATTTTTTATCAATACCTCGAAAAACTTTCTGATTGTCGAATCTCATCACCTTACATTTTTTGCTGCTTAGTTCCATATCCCAATAGTTGCACCATTTCACAATGTTGTCAAGGTCGGTTTGTATTTCCACTTGTTTATCAATGGAATCTTCTATGGCTATTATTTTGCTATCATCAGCATACATTTTAAATGTGTTTAGCACAACTTCTGGGAGGTCATTTTTGAATAACAGAAACAACATTGGACCCAAAACGGAACCCTGAGGCACGCTACTGGTAACTGATACCCATTCTGAAACTTTATTACTAATAGCAACTCTTTGTTTCCTATTTGCAAGAAAACTTTCAATCCAGTTATATATTTTACCAGTTATACCTACGCTTTAATCTTTGTCAATAGTCATTTGTGTTCTACTTTATCAAAAGCCTTTGCGAAGTCAAGATATATGATGCATAACGGTTTACCTTTTGCAGTTTCAAATGTAATTGTGTCAATTGTCTCAATAAGATTTGTTGTGCATGATTTGCTTGGAACAAAACCAGTTTGCTCCTCAGATATAAGTCTATTTGAAACTAAATGTTGCAGAATTGTGTCCCGAATGAGCTTTTCGAACATTTTACAAATCACAGATGTTAGGGATACTGGTCTGTAATTTTCTGGTTCAAGTTTTAATCCTTTTTAGTAAATTGGTGGTATATTTGCAACAGACCAGTGGTAAGGGACACATCCAGTGTCAAAGCTTAATTTGAAAGTATGAACAATTGGGTCCGATACGATGTTATAATTATACAACGCTAAAATAAAACTCTAAAATAAAACTTATATAGGAGGAGAGATAAATGTAAAAATTAAAACTAAATGGGTGAGGAGGTTTATATAAAATGTACAAAAAAAAAAATTAAATTATTTTTTTAAATTTTGAAAATAATTTTTATAAAAACAAAGGCAATGAAAACGAATGTACTTAAACAAAATCATAAAGTTGTAGCCTATAACATTCTCAACAATACTATAAGTAATCAAAATATTTATTTTATAATTTTTGTAAAGTATTTGAGTGAGGAAACACAGAATGCAGATAAGATACATTAAAGTATTCCACTGAGAAAACACAGGAAATAATAAAGTAACTCATTAAATTTCAGAAGTCGCCGTTTCTATCGTAGGTTTATTCTCTAATTGAGGTTTGTCTACACTTAATGTTTTTTTCATAATTCTAGTTCGTATTCGCGAGGGATCAATATGCTCGTATTGTCTGGAACCTCTGCGATTTATACAGTATTCATCAAAATCAGGCCCTTGACTTTCGATTCTTCTGTTTACGAGATTACGTAATCGTTGAACAACATCTTCTTTTTCGGCGCAAAGCCCATTAATTGTTCGACTTTGGTTTTCAGTTAATCCTTTTAATCTTTTCTGTATAAAGTTGTAAAGTTAGACGATTAAAAAAAATTTTAAAAAGTTGTAAAGTTGGTAAAGTTGTAAAGTTAGTAAAGTTAGCAAAGTTGTAAAGTTAAACGATAAAAAAAAATTTATAAGAAAAAAATTACAATTAATTCCCGATAACTCGAACCTCCAAGGGACCGAGGAAAATGGTACAACTTAACGAATGTTCGACTTAAGCAAAGTCCCGTTAAGTCGAACTTTTACAGAAATAAGATATTAGTTCGAGTTAAGGCGATTTTTATTTATTCAATGCTAAAGTATAAACATTAAGGTGGTAGACTGCTAAAAAAGTTTTTCAAGGAAAACATTATTTTAAACAGTAACTGTTGCAGAGTCTGAAAATATATAGATCTTCATATGAGAAAAAAAAAAGTTAGAACTGATAAAAGAGATTTATTTTAGCAGGGTAATTTTTTTCCCTTAGTGACGCTCATAGCAACGGCTAATTAAGGATAGAAGTTTTAAAAAAATTAAAAAACAAAGAAAAAATCTTGGAGCAACTAAAAAAAGATTCGATGATAAATACAATGATGAAGAGGAACAGTATATAAAAAACCTGTTTTTATAAGTTTGTATATTCAATACTTTAAATTTTATATGCATTTTTCTCTGTTATATAATTCTAATTTTCTGGCGAAGATTGCAGAAACTCTAATTGTCCAGTTGACTTCAAATTTTCTACAGAGATTCATTACAATCAGCTTTATGTCCTCAGATAAAAAAAATTAGGATTACAAATTTAAAAAAAATTAAAATTTTAGTTCATTTTATTAGAAATTCGATTTTTAATTAGGCGCATTGAAAAATCTCAATATGCTTCAAAATAAAGAAATTTTCAGCATTCAATTTTTATCTCAGGACGTTTATCTAGATAAAAAAAGAAAAAAAACTGCAAAAAATTAGAACTTAATACATTATACTATTTTGAGATATCTTTGCCAAGATGTTAGAATATTTTAGGCTTTAAGCCACTTGTTTTTGCCCAAAAATTACGAGGGAAAAAAAAAATATATACATTTTTAAAAATGTAATTATATTATTTGAAGTAAAAAAATCCATTGAAATATTGTCAGATACAAAAATTAATTTTTTTAACAATCTACCACCGTAAATATACACTATTATAGTAATAAAAAGTGTGAAAAAAGTTCAGTGAAAGAAGCTACGCATATCCGCCTGGATTAGCTTCTCTGATAATTCTTTTTCCACAATTAAGTTTATTTGGTTTATATATTTATGAAGTCACTCTCCATTGTCACTAAATATCATGTAGCTTTGTAGTGCTTCTAGGGCTTGACGTACATTACTCGATTGAGGGGAAGTTGGTTTGATCAAAAAATCTACATCACTATCTTCATCTTTTTCAGCCTCAAAATTTTCTTCTCCTAAAACGTCAGATGTAATATCCTCATCACTCATTATCGGCTCGGCAGTGTTGACAAAATCATCCATGGAAACGACATCTTTTGCTGTTGTTCCTTCAGTTAAGAATTCGAATGAATGAACAACAAGCTTTTCTAACTGGTCTTTGAGATCCTTAAAGGGATCATCCACATCTACCGAGGCGTCAAACACGTTTTGTCTGAAATTCCAGCTTTAGCAAAATAATTGCAAATAGTTTCGGTCTTCACCTTCCTCCAAGCAACATTAACCATTTGCATGGCATCCATTATAGTAAATTCCGGAAGAGGCTTTTTTTTTCTATTACATCTACAAATTTTTGAACAGATAGTGTTCTATAATGGGCTTTAAGTAACCTAATTACGCCCTGGTCCATTGTCTGGTAGGTAGTGTTTGGTGGTAAAAAAATTAGTTCTATTGATTCAATATCATCAATGATTGGATGAGCTGGACAATTAGCAACTAATAAAACAATTTTTAGTCCTTCCTTCGTAAATTTCACAAACCTATTCCTCAAATAGCATGCCATCCAACTTTTTTGCTGATTGCAATAACGGCAGGGTAAATGGTTTACATCTTTAAAGCATATGGGCGATTTAGCTTTGCCAATAACAAACATTGGCAATTTTTTTCTTAATCCATTAGCAGATGCTATACCTGTAAGACCTAGTTTTCTGTGTTTCCCACCAACACATTTTTCATTTTTAAAATGTAAAAATATATTTGGTTGGAACCGATAAAACAAGCCAAATTCGTCAGCATTATAAATATGGTTCAACTTATATTTTGATAAAATGGTTGGTAACGTGGTTTCCTCCCATGGTGCTACCATTTTACTTGTACATGCATTAGCTTCACCAGAAACCGTTTTAAATGATATATTGTATCGTTTCTTCCAACGGTCTAACCATCTGAAGCATGAAAATTTGTAACGTTCATTCTTTCATCAAATTCAATGGCTTCAGTTTTGAGAATTAAAGCAGATACAGTGACATTCAGTGCGTTGTACTTGACTTTAACAGTTTTTGAATTCATCTTTTGCTTAGTTGCAATTGTCGTCATGTTACAAACTTTGCACTGTTTACCCAAACCATGATCAATTCTAAACTCATGTCCCCAGAAAACCCTTTTGGGGGATGATAGCCCATATATAATAGAACATTCAGATATAAATTTGGAAATCAAACTATTACGTCCGAGAAAGATATTTTGATTTTAAATTTTGAAGCCAATAGGCCTAAAAAATTGAAAAATGACAGAGGATTTTGAATTTTTACAGAACTTTTTTGCTCAACTTGGTCATGGGAAAAACATCTAGAAGTGATTTTAAATGAAAACATTAGTGTTTCTGAAAATTATTTTGGAAAAATTTATTCTTTTTTTTGTAGCTTTTTTTTCACAAGTTTCTGGGAAAAAGCATGTATTTCAAAAAACAAAACAATTTTCACAACACACTAGAACATATAAGTTGCGAAAATGCCTAACAAAGTCAAAGACCACAAAGAGAATAGAAAAGCTGTTTGTTTTTTGTGCCTTTAGAAAAAAAAAACTGCGTGCCTCCGAAAGGGAAATCATGAGCTAACAACTTTTGTGATTGAGAAAGCACAAAATGTTTTTAAAGTTAAACTAGATTTTTCTGATAGCAGGATTCCTTCAGGTATTTGTAAAAGATGTCGTGTTGCCAATAGAAGGAAAGATAAGAGTGTAAATCTTCCTCTTCCTAACCTTTACAATTTTAAGAGCATCTCAGTTCAACCTGCTACCAGAGAATCTTCTTGTGATTGTTTGATCTGTCAAATTGCCAGAAATAAGCTGAACATTCCTCATCAACTGTTGGCAAGTAAACCTAAGAACGAAGGAAGAATTGAAAAAAGATATTTAAACTGTTTTTTGTGATTGGGCGAGGGCTGCCCCACAATTGTACAAAAGGAATAATGAGAAAAAATTTGGCTGCAGTTGTCTCAAAAGATGCAGTGGCTGCAGAGATGGTTGCAATTATGGTCATCTCAAACAAACCTCCTTCTCCTCATGGCGCTGTCCATCTCAGTCAAGTAAAGGGAGGCAACAGTTTTCCAGTTGTTTCAGGTATGATACAGTTTTAAACTATCATAATATTAATAGCCTGTGTCTAATACCCTGTGTCTAATATGCATTAAAACTCTGTGTCTAATAGCATAGTCTTTTCTTAGGGCCATCCAGGACATGAGAACTCATTCCTGAGGAGAAAAAGCTAACAGCTATAGATATGCTCAAGGTTCAAAATGAAACTGGACTTTCTTATTGTGGCATAAAAAAACTTGCATCATCATTAAATCAAGCCACTTATCAACAGGTTGTTGAAAAAGAATTTCGTGACAAGTTTGAGTCATTTGGAAGGACTCTTGCAGAACAGCTCACTTCAAACCACTTTCAAGGTTCAACCAGAGTTATTGTTCACTAGTATCATGCCAGTGCTCACCCTTGTACATGGTGTGATGCAAATTCAAAAAATCTTCACATCTGCGGGAAACCCAAAACATTTGGTTCCATTCAAGCTGACTTGAATTTCAAAGGAGTGGGTCAATTTTAAGAAGAGCAAAAGAGTTCAAAAATGTTGTTCACAAACCAATTGTTTACTTGGACAATTAAACACTCTTATTGGACTTTATCGTTGCAATGGAGCTACATCTTCTTTTTGGAATAGTAAATCATCTCTACAAAACTTGTGTCAAACATGACCTGATGCCAATCAATGGCCTGCTGCTTTTCATATTCGGGAACAGCCTTTTCATGGGAGCCAATTTGCTGGAAATGATTGTCAAAAGCTATTGAAGCATACAGATGTTTTAAAAAATCTGACTGAAAAAAGCTCTTCATTCAATGTTATGCCTCATGTTGAAACTTTCAGATGTTTTGAAAGAGTTGTGAAATCTTCCTTTGAAAAAAATCTTTCTCCCAACTTTGCTGATAAGATCAAGGAGTTCCAGAGTTCCTTCTTGAAGTTGCCAAACACCTCCATCACTCTAAAAGTGCATGCAGTCTTTTTTCATGTGAAGCATTTTATTGACCGCCAAAAGTCAAGCCTTGGAGTATTTTCTGAACAGGCCACAGAATCTTTGCATCACAACTTCAATGTACATTGGCAACGATACAAACGTGATCCCATTCATCCAGAATATGAAAAGAAGCTTCTGAATTTTGTTGTCAACCTCAAAAGCAAGCACTCATTTTAGTTGAAAGGATCTTTTTCAAACCAAAATTAAGAATACTGTAATCTTAAAGAATTATTTCCCCATGTGATATTTTTATTCAGAAATGTTTTTTATATACATAAGAATGTTTCTTTTGTTGAACGACGGGGGAATATAAGATGATTCGACTTAACAAAGTTCAAGTTATCCGATGTTCGACTTAACCGGACAATTTTAATAGTAATCAGTTAGATAATTTCAAGGGACCAAATCAAACAGTTCGAGATAACAAAAGTTTGAGTTTACCGGTGTTCGACTTACCAGGAATTAACTGTATATATATATATATATATATATATATATATATATATATATATATATATATATATATATATATATATATATATATATATATATATATATATATATATATATTTATGTATATATATATATATATCTATAAATATCTATATCTATATATATATATATATATATATATATATATATATATATATATATATATATATATATATATATATATATATATATATATATCGGGAGAGTTGCCTTAATTGGAATAATTTAGGAATAAATATTTACTATCCAAAGATGGTTTAACTATGATTTGATTAATACAAACAGACATCCCTCTATACTTTTCATCAGAACAGGTTTTTAAAAAAAAAAAAAATCCAGTATAGTCAACAAAAATTTGTAAAAAATGATTTTCATCTTTACAGTGATATTTAAACAGTTAATTCAAAACTTATTATAGGAATAGTATTACCCTGACAAATTTAAAGTCTACAAACAAAAAATTATATAAAGCTTCAACTGTTATGATGTTCTCTTAATTTATTGACTAAATTAAGTATTATTTTTAATTGTTTATGGTTGTTACTAAGTATTTTTTTAATTGCACATGACCTATTTTTACAAACCATTTTATTACTGATTAGGTAAGGAAAAATTCAAAGTTCCAATCAAGGAAATTTAAACTATTTTGTTATATCACTAAAATAACATGCTTGCAGCAACTTATAAATAAGTTTATATTATTAATTTTATATTGTTATATCCTATCAAATTAAACACAAAAAACGATATAACCTGTGGCACCATAGTTTACTCAGTCCAATCAATATAGTGTGAACAAATAATTAAATCACTCAAAAAACATGACGCAAAAAAACGCATTTTTTGAGGAATAACTTTAAAAATGTGTCAAAACACAGGAAATAATGCGTTTTACTAGAAAAATTCAAAATATAGCCATAATTCATTTTTTTTCAAAAATAAATGCAAGTGTTCCAATTAAGGCGCTGTTCCAATTTCAGCAACTCTCCCCTATATATATATATATATATATATATATATATATATATATATATATATATATATATATATATATATATATATATATGTATATATATATATATATATATATATATATATATATATATATATATATATATATATATATATATATATATATATATATATATATATGTATATATACATATATATATACATATATGTGTGTGTGTGTGTGTATGTGTAATGTATGTAAATGTTAAACGGCAAAAGTTGTTATGTTAAAGTAAGCAATACTAATTTTAGGGTGCGTCAATTTTTTTTTCCTCTTTCAATTTCAAAAAGGGCAAGGTTACTTTTGGTGAAGAATTTTATAGAGTTTCCAAATCAGCAAAAATTTCAAAAAATAATGTCTTGCTGGGTGGGTCAGCATTGTTTTGAACAGGAAAATGACTAAATGTGACTAATTAACAGGGCAAAATTATAATTAAAAAAAAAAAAAATTCTAAAATTTTTGATTAACTCAATAATCGTTATGTTGAATTTTAAGAAAATTGATTATTTGGTTCAAATGTCATAAAAATAAATACAGAAAAGGAGTTTTTGTGAAGAATATTTTTACAAAAATCAAGTACTTTTTTCATATTTTAGACAAAGAATGTTACGGTAAAGTGTGTTGTTTTTTTCCTGTTTTTATCAAACTCTATAAGTAAGGGGAGTTCATTTTTGTAGGGATTTTACAGGGAATCTGAATCTGAAATAATAAAAAAAAATAAAAAATGTCTTGTTGGAGGGAACGCTTTGTTTTTAACGAAAAAATGACTAAAATATGAATAATTAAAGAGAAAAAAATTATAAATTAATTAATCTTGAACTTTATAAAAATATCATATTTTGTTAAAAAGTCAAAAAAATATACACATAATGGGGGCTTTTGTGAAGGTTTTTTAGAATTGTAACAGCAATAAGATCTGGAGTGATACCTGAAAATGTATTAAACCTTGAAATAGGGCCTGTTTCTCATTCTAAAGTGTTCACAACAGCCAACCACTTTTGTAGATGTAGGCTTTAATTTTCTAACAGAAACCCTTAGAAATTGACGTTTAATTAGTTAATTATTGAATTTGTAGTTGGTGTGTATTTTCCTTGATGGTTTCAAATAAAGGTAAAACATTCCTGGTTAGATGGACCTCGGCATATTTTTTTTCCAAATTAAAAAAACTAAAATATCAAATAAAAAATAAGGTTGTTGCAATATAATGAAAACTGTAAAGAGATCTGCATGGTTTGCAATTAGTGAATGCATTATTTAGATTCTTGTATTACACAGATGAAGAGGAATGAAAGTTAGGAGTGAAAAAGGTGCTAAAGATTACACAGATGAAGAGGAATGAAAGTTAGGAGTGAAAAAGGTGCTAAAGATTACACAGATGAAAAGGAGTGAAAGTGAAAGGAGTGAAAAAAGTGCTAAAGATTAGAAAGGAAGAAGATGATACTCAGTTTAGAGAATTTCAGTAAGAATTCGCAAAACCCCATGCATAAATACTAATGTTGATAAATTGACCAATCTAATCGAGTGGAAAGGTTCAATATAAGAACCATTTTATCACAAGCCTCACAACCCATAAAGTCAGAAAATATTTTTACAAGCCTTGGTTGTTCCAGATTAGCCATGCCATTCCCAGTCCATCGAACGTTGCGTTAAACAGGTTTCTTTTTTAAACAATTGTATGAATATAATAACTTATTTAAAAATTGTTAATGACTAAATTTTTTTTAATGCTTAATATAGGTTAAAGAGGATTGTGCAAAAACCTATTTCCATGAAAAGCGAGTAGGATGTACAACAGCGCAAGAAATCAGTAGGGGTTTTATGAGCACAAACAATGCAAAATATAACTTTGTTGAACTCACAAATTTTAAATAAAATTTATAAAACTATTAATTGTTTATTACATGTAAATTTTAATAAAGATATCATTATCTATACTATCATATATATTAATACATTTATAATCATATTTATTATAGATGTATTAGTATATAATATACTACTTGTTATAAAAGTGTTTGACTTATTATTAGTTTTAGAAAAGAAAGCGCACTCTACGATAACATTCACTGTCTAAAATGTGAAATAATCGACTAATTTTTCTAAAAGCCCCCATTATATATTTATTTTTTTGACTTTTTAAACCAAACAATCAATTTTCTGAAAATTCAACACAACACTTATTGAGTTAATCAAAAACTTTAGAATTTTTTTTTTTAAGTTATAGTTTTGCCCTTTTAATTAGTTACATTTTAGTCATTTTTCCGTTCAGAACAACGCTGGTCCACCCAGCAAGACATTGTTTTTTTAATTTTTTTTTTGCAGATTCAGTATCTCCAAAAAATTTTTCACCAAAATTAACCTTTCCTTTTTTAAAATTGAAAAAATAAAAAACAAAAAATTGACACACCCTAATAAATAAATCTTTCATTATAATAACTTTAACGCTAATATGTAGGTATGCGTTCGAGAAGCAAACATACAACAACAATATTATAGTAAAATTAAGTTAAAAAAACATCGTTTTATTTTTAACCACAATAAATAACTTACGTATGAAGATATTATATCTTCTAGAAAGGATTTTGTACTGTCTGGATGGTCCAAGGATTCAGCTACATGACCCATCGCCTAATCTGTAAATCACACGCTAAAGACTAAAAATTTATCAGTATATAATTTAAAATCTTTAAAAATAACAAAAGTCGTTATTTTAATATAAAAGCAAACATAAAGTTGTTAAGTGGATATTAAAAGATGTTCAACTTTACGTGGACACTTCCTGACTAAGCTCCCATTAAAACTGATTTCAATTTCTTCTCATATTACAAAATAAGTGTTTATATTTTGTTGATAAATTATTAGTTTTCTTTATTCAAAAAATAAATAAAAATTAAATGAAAAGTAAACCAATTAAATATATAAGTAAAAAAATAAGTAAGTAAAAATATTTAGAAAAAAAATCATTAAATAATTACTCACCATTTATAAGTAATTTATCATAACTATAAGTACTCATTATTTGTTTTTTGTTTGGTTACATTTAACAAATTTCCAAAAGAAATGGGGTCGTATCCTCATGTCTATGTTAAACTTAACGGAGCGTTGGTTAAAAATATTTTTTTAACTATATTATTAAAAAAAATTTCTTAGTATAACTTTTTAAACATAAATGTTTTATTGTGGTTTTTTGGTAAATATACAGCTGAGGCCTAAAACTCCGTTATACTTAACGGAGAGACGTGAACAGAGGTTTTACTCAAGGGTGGTTTTAAGAATAAAATGGGGGGGGGGGGGGGCGAAATCTTAAAAAACACCGGTTTTCCTTAGGCAATAAAAATTGATTATAACTTGAAAATAGCCTCTTTTTTTTGGAGGGGGGGGGGAGGAAGGAAGTACAACACACTTACTTCAACCTTTGTAAAATAATCCCTGGTTTTACTCTTACATGTGTTGATTTCTGTACTTCTGTATTTATTTAAAAAAAAAAAACGATGCTGAACTGTTGATTGGATTGTTGATTTTTATTGTTAATTAAATTTTTTGAGAACTTACTTAAAATGTTAATTGATTGCATTGGTTTTTGACGTAACACTCAGTTAAATTTGTAAAAGTTTAAACAAACTTTGAGAGACGCAGATTTTAAAAACTTGTTAAGGTTATGTTTAAACCATGGCTTTTTATTACCGGTTTTTACATCCATTAAAAACAAACATGACATCCATTTAAAACAACCAGAACATTCATTTAAAACATCGTGACAATCAATTAAAACAATTTTATTTTTAATTAAAACAATCGTGATTTTCAATAAAAACATTTAACGCATGCGCAATTTCAACATTCTATAATATTAAAAAAAAAATGTATTATGTATATATTTATCTGTTTAAATTTATTTTTTATTAATATCATATTAATTTATTTTATTTTAATTAAATTTATTTTAATTTTAAACAGGTGACATATTTGTTTTAAATGAATTAAAATGTTTTCAACCCAGTATGTGTGTACATCTAATTTAGAAAATACACTGAGAGGCTTGATGTTGAGAGAAGAGTATTCTATAAAAAAAGAATAGGGGAATGGTGTCTCGAAAAATATACGAGCAACGAGATATCAAAGAAAAAGAAGTAAAATTGTCCAATTGGATATTCAATCCACGGCCTTTCTGAGTATGAAGAAAACTCCTTATCCAAAGCAGCTAAACGCACAGTTAATGACACAGACAAAATAAATATTATTATATGATAAAAAGGTGTTAATCATCATGCATGTTTTAAATGAACTTCATGGTTGTTTTATCAATAAGATAAAGCGTTGTAAAAAATGTGTACCTAAACAGCATGGAATAGTTGAAGCTTAATACTGTACTGTGTGTACGCCTTACCAGGTTTTTCATCCATTTAAAATAAATATGGCATCCATTTAATATTAAAATAAATTCCATTAAATTAAAATAAATTAATATAATATTAATATAAAATAAATTTAAATAAATAAATATATAAATAAAACCTTTTTTTTAAATAATATAGAATGTTGAAATTGCGCATGTGTTAAATGTTTTACGATTGTTTGAAAATCAAATTGTTTTAATTGATTGTCACAATGTTTTAAATAAAAGTCACGTTTGTTTTAGATGGATATAAAAACCGGTACAGTGTTTTGACGTCATAACGCATTTTCTAATACAATATTAAACTTGACTTATATAATATTAACTCAAGGTTTTATTCTTGAACAGAAACTCTGTGACTGGTAAGAACGCTTCTAAAGAAACACAGCCTAAAGTTTGAAATTGACAAATTTTTTCAGAATTCTTTTTATTTATTATTTTTATTTGATTTTTCAATTTTTAATTATTTATTTTAATAAATTATTGCAATCATTCCCCGAAAGTTGATAGTTGTGAAAAATATGCATCTGGATATTCTGGTCAACATTATGGATGTTTCTTAAACTGATGGTAAACAAAGGAAATAAAACTCAATTGGCGCAATCGAATCGAAGAAAAGTTAGGAGTCTCAAGCCAAGATTAAAAAAAGTTCAATTATTTTGTAACGCTCCCTTGGGCTTTGATGAACTCAACAGCAGTAATCTTCTTGCTACTTGTTGCTACGTTTTGATTCTTGCTGTAATTCGTCTTTAAATTTCTAAGTGTTCTTAATACTCCTCCGGTAAAAGATTTTTTATGTCACATAACATTAATCTCTAATTCTCTTTGACTTAATCTTTGCTTAATTCGAAAAAGTTGGCAACTCTAAGATTAGATATACTTGACATTTTCCTATTGATCAAATCCAGGCTTAAAATTTTTTAAGAATTCTAAAACATTTTCTACTATGGCAATGATTGACAGTCTTAAGCAAAAAAAATATTTATTATTAGTTTATTAAATTCACTTTAAATCTCGTTTGTTTGCGTTATTACTAAATCAACGTTTAAAGGTTTCACGTAATATATATATATATATATATATATATATATATATATATATATATATATATATATATATATATATATATATATACATATATATATATATATATATATATATATATATATATATATATATATATATATATATATATATATATATATATATATATATATATATATATATATATATATATATATATATATATATATATATATATATATATATATATATATACATATATATATATTTTCCTTGCTAGAAATTGGAATTCACTTAGAATTCGCTCCCTTCTGCTTACACTTACAATTCCCTTCATCTATCACTTTATCTCTCACTTTCCACCTCCTTTTTCTTTTACTGAATTTGCTTCCTTAAAATTCTTACTTAGAATTCGCTTAGAACTCACTTAGAATTCGCTCCCTTCATCTTGATTTCCTGATTAATATAATTTACAACCATTTTAGTCGTCTGCTAATCGTTATTTTGCTTTGTAAACTTCATCTTTTCTCATACACTAACTTCCAATTCTAATAGTGGTTGCTTGCAGCCTTGGTGGAAGTATATATATATATATATATATATATATATATATATATATATATATATATATATATATATATATATATATATATATATATATATATATATATATATATATATATATATATATATATAAAAGTGCATTTGCTTTTAAGAAATTGTTTAAATTTAAATATAGATTTCAATACTGCTTTGATTGAATCTAATTTAGCATAAATGATATTTTTATCAATACATAAAATGCATTAAGATGCATTTTATGTATTGACAAAAATTACCTGATAACGCTTATTTAACTTCTCAAATAAAAAAAACTTTTTTCCTGGTCCAAGATTCTTTTCTTCATCTCTGTTTTTCTTTTTTGTTCATCATAAACCCGCATTAAAAACGTACTCCATAAAAAAAAAAAAAAAAAAAAAAAAAACAAGCCATAAACTTCAAAATTGTAAATTTCTCTAGAATTCTTCAACAAAACTTCTATTAGATTAATAAGTGTTTTATTTTTATTTTCTAAAAAAAAAAAAAAAAAAACTGTTATTATGACATGTTGTGAAATAATTAATCAAATACAAAATAAAAAGACTTAAAAACAGTACTTTAGAATTTTAATAATTTTTAGCTAAATAAAGACTTTTTTTCACTTTTTTAACACTTTTTACAACAACAAAAAAAATTGTAAAAGCAGTTTAATTCTGCTTAACTACAGTTTTTTACTAAAAATATATATATATATATATAGATCAATATCATTAAAAAAAAAATCCGTTCCAAGCAAAATCAGTTCAAAGCAAAGCTTTCATATTATCACTTTCCCTGAGACTTCAGAATAAAAACATAATGGGAAACGTTTCGAAATATAAATTATATTAAAAGAAAAAAAACATTTTAAAAACATACCTTATATCTCGGATTGTGCAATTGTATCTCTTTTTGGGTGATTTTAATCTCCCGAATCTTGTTGGTGATTTTAACCTTCTGAATATGAAGTTGTCTAATAATGGTACTACATCTTTCAACTCAAACAATTCGAACTGGTGTTCGAATTGTTTCAACTCAAACAGTTCGAACATCAGTTCTTTGGAATTCACTTCCTTCGTCTTGCTTTCCTGACTCATACAATTTGAAATCTTTTAAGTCGTCTGTCAATCGTTATCTTGCTCTACAATCTTCATCTTTTCTCTTCCAGTAACTTCTAATACTAATCAGTGGTTTCTTTCAGCCTTGTTGGAATCGAAAATGTTAAAAAAAAAAAAAATTCTAACGAGTATGAATTGCGGAAAACTTCCCAAAACAGCCTCTTTACTCAAAATATTATATTCTCTACTTTCCAGACAACCTATGATTTCCCAAAAAATATGATGGACTTATTATTTACCTAGAACAATAATTATATTTTAAATTTGTCTCCTAATTTTATAATAGGTAATTACACTAAGGGTCACTTTAGTATCACTTGGAGAATCTTAGATTCAGAACCGTAACCGAAAACGAATCTCAAATGTTTAGTTACAACAAAGGAAATTCTAATTCAATATCAAACTTTATTGCATCAGTCGATTGGATATTTTATTTCTACACAAAATGCGGAATGTTCAAATTTCTTATTATCGTACTGCTTATGAACTTTTTATCCCCATGATTTAAAAAGCAAAAAAAAAGTATGATCAAATAAAAAAATAAATGTTGTTATTTAACATCACTTTTATTTATGGTGATGTTAAATAACAACTTGG